AGCATTTTTTCAAAGAGCTATAGCTTTAATATTCTTTTAAATGTGCTTTGAGCTTGCTTACACATTTGTTAATTTGAGCTTAAAAAATTATATATATAGCGCGTTTGATCAAAATATCTCTATTTTTAAATTTATTCGAATAATCAATAAAATTTCAACAAATATGTATTTAAAATTTATAATTATTTAATTATTTTAAAATAGCAATTGATTAACATATTTTCCATCATAAATAATATTGACATAAAAAATTAAATATACTACAATTAAATCTGATAAAGATTTAATAGATAAGCGAGCTTAATCAAGTATAACTATATAAGCTTATTTTCTCAAAAACGCTCAAGCTTAAAAGTTGTATTTAGCCGAACTTAAGCTGAACTGGTTTAGCAATTTAACATCCCTAATGAAAATTGATTAAATGAATACGTCTAATGGACAGCTAATAGACTTTTTTTGTCATACTTTTTGGGAAAATGATCTGCATCAAATTTCATTGTTAACTACAAATGCGGTTAAAGCAAATTTTTCGTAATTTCATTGAGACAATTTAACACTACACTTAAAAAAAAAAACAAATTCAACGGTTTCTAATGCTTATATTTCAACCAAAAAAAAATTTTTTTTTATAGCGGATAATGTGAATTATACGATTTCTTATAAGCTATGGAAAGACACTATCTTACATATTTAAAATGGCTATGATGTTTGAGATAAATAGCAAGCATGCATAAATAAAATAAATAAATGATCTCTGCATCGTAAATATAAAATTTACTTCATAATTTTCCCAAAAGAATTTGTTAAACCAATATTAAACGGATTTATTTCGGCCGTCCCCACGAAATTACGTAAAAAATTTAAAACCAATAAGATTAGTTCTTAACATAAAAGGGGATTTTAAATGATTTGCATAATCAAGTCCAAATCTAAGATTGTTGATCTTTAAATTAAAGTTTTACAGTTGCGGTCAGATTATGCATTATCGAAGTTTCGATACACTTGTCATTTATACAACAGTGTTTCCCGCCCAAATTTTTTCCTGCATTTAAGAAGATTCTCTAGAAGAATCGTTTTACTAATCTGCACTTTAAATTGAATTGATAAGTGATACACAGTTTAGTACTACATTTCTTAGAAAAAGAAACAAAACGATCATGGGCTTTAAATTGTGGCTTTAGTGGCCCTAAACAATTATTTAATTGTTTTTTGTACTCTAAATAATGGCGCACCTTCATTTTCGAGATTTGATTATATAATTATTTACGCCACTCCAAAAAACCTTATAAATAAGATCTCCTTCGGTATTGAATTTTTACAACAACAAAAGAAAATTTTCTTTTTTTTTTATAATAAAAAAAAAAAAAGTATTAAAAGTTCATAAACAAAATAAAATGTCTTTTGACCTTAATTCACAAAATACCGTAAATCAAAATGAAGAAATTCGAATCGAAATTTATGAATGCAATGATGAATTTGAATGTAAGTTGGTTGAATGGATTAGAGATTATTGACGATTTATAACTCATCATATTTAAATCATTAATAATATATTTTTTTCTATATAATTTTATTTATAGTCAATTGCGGCAGAAAAATAAAAAACTTCTTTTCCAAGCGTATGAACTCTATAAAAAATAATATCAGGATGATCAAAGCGATCAAGAAAAAACATAATATGCATTTAAGCCTATTCAGATAAATTACCCTTTAAGATGAACAATTGATTAGACATAATTCTAAGATTGTACAAAAAAAATTTTCTTTTATATTCATACATGCATAATTTTTTAATTGTAAATAGTAAACATCAACATCATCATCATCATAAGGCAACTTCAATTTTTTCCAAAAAAAAATCTTTATTTTTCAACAGATAAACCTTCCAAATCCTTCAAAACTTTAGAATTGTAACTAATATTTACATGTATAATTAGACATTATGACGGAAAAATTTTAATTTTTTGATAAAATTATAAATTTGATACGGTCACCCCAGGGGGGTTTTTTTCTTTTTCAATTAGTTATATGTTCTGTATCACAAATAAAGATAAACCATCTATGTAAATCCGCTTTCTTTAAACAAAATCTGATATGCCGATTTTATTATGTAAGATCACATGATAAAAATTTTACTATAATTCTTTAAATGTACCCGGGTATATATATTATCCTAGTACATTCGCGTGACAATACTTTAAAAAAAATTTATTTATACATGGGACTAGGATAATAACCTAAACCCGGAGTATAGTATAAATTTGCCCATAAAAAAAAAAAAATCCTGAAGTTTCGTAAACTGACACGGCCGGGTCACAGAATCTGAAAATTTACTTTGCACCTTAAAGATTGACCAATCAGATGGCATAATATTTATATAAACTTTTTTTTACTTTTTTTATTAACAAAAAATTTTCATTATAAACTCCGGGTCTCCGGGTCGATTTTTAAATTTCAATGTTACGTGAACCGAAAAATCGAAGTTGCATGTCCTAAATAGCATCTAGATCATAAAAAACTCTATAGGTTTAAAAATTTTTTTTGACAAAAATAAAATAGAGAATTTAATTCGTATAAAATGCACCCATGTGTAGTTTCTTTGATATGCATGTATTAAATAATTTATTAAATTTATTTTATGTTGATACGTAATATGCATCCCATGCGTAACTAGATTTGGAACGCAATTGACTTTTAAGCTTAATATACTTTTTCCCACGATCTATTATTTATATAATTCTTCCACGATCTTTTATAAATATTAATTTCCTCTATCACTTTACTACTTCTATTTCTTTCTCCCTTTCTCTTTTCATTCGAGGTGTATTTAATAGCAAATCAAAGAAGAATAAAAGCAAACATCAAAATAACATCGCGTGCGTAATCAATAAATAAATGTGGATTATTAAATATTAATCGAAAGAAAAGAAAAGAGAAATTATTAGTTTAGTGCTCCCTTTGGTCGCCGGTATATTTAGAAATTATTTATTTTATATGCATCCTGTGTGTTTAGAAAATATTTTCGAAGCGTGGCAATGTGTGTCTGTCACGCCGCGTGATCGTCCAATCGGTTTTTTTTTATTTCCTTTTTTGTCTACGCTATAAGCGTGTTATCGTGTTTTGAAGTTTGATTTCTTTATTGTGCCCAAGCTTTTATTTATTGTAAAGTTGATTATTGCATTAAAATAATAAAATACACTATTTTAATTGTGACAAGGATTTTAATATTACTCTTTTTTCCTATTAAAGTTTGCTTTTGAAATCGTGTTTGTAAAAATATTGGTGTTATTTAACTACTTTTGAAATTTAATAATAATAATAAGTAAGATGTGCATGTTGAGCTTACAATATTTTTTGATTTATTTTGGTACAGAATAAAAAAATTTCACCAATAATGATTAAATTATAAAACTTGTTTACTATTCATAATTCGTTTGTAATATAAAAAAAAAAAAAAAAAAATTTTTTTTTTAACAAATGCGTAGAAAAATAAGCTTCGTCTTTCTACCCTCGCCCACCCTCTCTTTTATTTATCATTATTACTATTATCTTAAGTAAAATTAATTTTATTCATTATCTGTTGTCTGCAAACAGCAAAGCGATTTACGGATAAAGTTTTAAATGGTAATATTCTCATTGTTCAAAAAAAAAAAAAAAAATTCTTTAAATTTTTAACAAGGAATTTGCGATTATCGTATCTACACAGCCTCCTCTCATATTTACGGATAATGTTACAATTATAAATTTCTACATCTTGATCATTAATTCTTTTTGTTTTGAATATTGGTTAATTTTCTTCTTTAAGTTAATAAAAACTGATATTTTTAACTTCTAACAATAAAAATTTACGCCCAACAAAAAGCCTACTTGCTACTTGTAAAACAATTAAAAAATTTTCGAGCGACTCAAGTAATACGTATACTTCTTTCTTTATGTGGTATTTAATGAAGTGACAAGATTTTAACGCTTAAATTAAATTTTTTTTTTTACAACGATGTTTTCGTATTAATTTGACATTCGATGAAGGTTGGAACTTTAGTTCAATTAAAAATATTTTTCGACTCTCATAATAACTTTCTAAATACCTAGATTTGCGAAGCCTAATAAATCCAACCCTATCAAATATTAGTAAATAAATTATTAATAAATATATATAGATAAATTTTTCTAACAAACGATGGTCAATTTATCCTTTGGAAGAATCGTTACATCCTTGTAAAAACGATTTCTTGCTCTATCGAAGAGACAATCTACGGTCGTATAGATTCTCTCATAAAAGAAAAACCTTGAAGGCCCAAAAAATTCATTTGAGGGGCGGTGCCTCTTGATCTCTATATGGTTTCTTGAAGAAACCAAATTACTACGCCCACTAGAGATCCAGCATTTGAAATTGCGCGGCCAATATAAGTTATTTTTCATTATAGAAGGTATTAGTGTATAAAAAACGTAATTTGACCAGATTGAGACAAGTCTTGGGACTAGACTATAACTCTACAGCTTAATAAAGATACTATTTACACTTTCAATCTTCTTCTTGTCTTTGTGTAATAAATCGTTTATTTGTTATAATTTCTCTTAAGAAAGACATTTGAATTATTTTGCCTATTGTGTTTGCTAGCTTGGTTTTGGTGTAACACCGTACAGTAATTTGGTCTTCGCTTCGCTCCGGAATTCCATTACCAAATTAAACCGAAAATTACTTAATTAACCATAACAACACTCAATACTTAAAATTATTAACTATTGAGGTTTTAAAATCCGTGATACCCAAGCATGATTGACTCTATGTTTGATAAACATGAGGCATCTTGAACACAATAGGCCCAAAGTTCATTGTTGGTCTCACAACGAAAATTAAAGTTTTTTATTTGTGGCTTCTTATTAAGGTTACACTGATAAACAAATCGTCATCAAGTATTCGTCAATCATACATTTAAAAGAATAAAATTTCCCATCATTTTTAAATCTTGGAATTCCTTTTCTTTCAAAAAATTTTCTCAATGTCTACCGAACTATCAGATTTATTGCATAATGAATATGACGAAGTTCTTAATTCATGTGAATTTTCAGATATAGAAATCATGATTGGTGAAGATCCCGATACAAAGGTTTATAAAGCACACTCGCTGATTTTAAAAATACGTTCACCTTATTTCCGTACTACTTTAACAAACGATTCGGAAAGAACAGATGATAATAACGTTATTAAATTGCAAAAATCGAATATTACTGTTGAAGTGTTCGATATTCTTATAAAGTAACTTCATTTTATGATGTATTATCTTCATTATTTTGTAAAGGTCAAAAAACTAACTCATGAATTTAAATTTAGGTACATGTATAGCAGTTTTATTGACCTTTACCGCAACGATATTAAAACAAATGTTGCGCTTTTAATTGCTGCTGATGAATTATGTCTTAACGGTCTATGCAATTTTATTGAAGAGCATCTTCTTAGTGACGAAATATTGTTAAAACAAAATTTTATTCTCATTCAAAGTGTTGCAAGCAAATATCATCAGTTTAATAAATTGGTTCAATTTTGTGATGTTAATTTTGAACTAGACCCCTCTTTAATCTTTATGGCAGAAGATTTCACGGAAATCAAGCAAGAAATCCTCCTCGATGTTATAGAGAAAAATAATCATGCTGAGAGTCCTATCGAAATTTGGGATAGATTATTCGAATGGTGTGTCGCACAATCTAACGATGAATTATCATTAGATGTTACAAAATGGACGCAAAATGAAACATCAATTTTCAGATCAATAGTTCAACCATTCTTACCTCATGTAGATTTTAAAAATATTAGTCCCGCAGAATTCTTTCAAAAAATCAAACCACTTAAAAATATTTTTGACGATGATTTTTATATTAAAATACTTGAATATTATACTTTTTATGCTCCTTTTAGCAATGTTAATTTACAAAAAAGGAAAGGGAAATGGAGAAGGGGAAGGGGAAGGGGAAGGAGAAGAGGTGCAATGCAACCTCAATTTTCCGACGATAACCATTCATTAAACGATAACCAATCATTTAATGATAACCAATCATTATCCGGTTGTTATTAAAGTTTTTTTTCCTTGATATTCGTTTCGTTAAACGCTTACTTTTTTTAAAAAAAAAAAAAAAATAAAATAAAATCTATTTACTTATCCTAAATCGAATATGAATGCGTTAAAATAATAAGAATTCTTAACGAATGAACTAAAGAAAAGAATGATCTACAAAAGCATGAACTAAATCGCAGTCTATATCGAATGGATAATATGTTATAGGTGGGTCGATTTTATGTCCTTGGTCGATATGTCATTATGAAAATTATAAAATGAAGAGAGATTCAAATAGAAACAGCAATAGTCAGCTCCAATTCCTTTTAATTAATTAATATAATATACTTTGCTTAGTTTACCCTTGAATTCTTTGTAATAACGATTCTTGTATAATAAATTAAATGCATCTGGTCACTCAGAGTGTATGTATCGATGTTTAGACAGTTTATTATTTACACTTTATGCCATTTTTTAATAAAAATCAGTTTAAAAAACATTGTTCGTTTATAAATAATAAACAGAAAGTATAGTATAAAAATAGTGTAAAATCCATTGTAATAAAGGAAAAAAAATTTTTTTCATTTTTTTTGTTAGCATTATCAATACTTGTATGTTATTGATCTTTCGAATATGAAATTAAATATTTTTCATTTTCAAAACGGGTCTTTACAAATGTCGGTCGAAGACCCGTTCAATAACAATACGTGTGCAGTAAATATAATAGTACGATACATAAAATTACGCAATCCTAGTAATAATTATTTAAAATTTTTTTTTCCATTAGAAATATGGAATGTACTGTATATTAACATTAAAATAACTATTTCGCGGTAAGAATAAAAAAAGTAAAACATATTAATTCATAAAGTCTAATTTTTTAATAATCTATTTCCTACTTTTAAATGAATTTCTTAAACATCTCCATTGATGTAGGTACACAGAAAAACCTCATAAAACAAACCCATCACATTAAATTCTCACTTATACATTTATATTTTCATATAATGGTAACACATTTGTGATTTTATTTTCATGAGTGTGAATTCTCAAAAAGTTGTGATTCAAAGCTTTTACTTGAATCATTTGCTTTTGATAAAACGTATGTATATTATGGAAATAACGTTTAATAATTCAAATATGAATAAAAATTAGACAACAAACTATTTAAACAAAAAATTGAATTACATCCAGTACTTTACGTTTCTAAGCAGAATTAGGTATGTAAGAAATCAATTAAGTGTTAATTCCATTTATCTCATCGAAATATCAATGCTAATTAATTAAAGCTACCCTAATTATCGATTCTATTGAAACGCCTAGAGGACAATTTGGCATGTAGCCAGACGATATTTTGGCTAGAAGGTATTTTGACCCTATTAAATTCCGGAATACATTATTCATTTATTAAACTATTATCAAAAAATCGTAACACTAGGAAACGCGTAAAATTAACTTTATTAATAAAAAAGAAATGCCGCAACTTAAAATTTCTCTTGTTATTAACATTAAATATATCTGAAAATTTTTCATTAATCTAACCGGCTTCGTCAAAATCTCTTGATCCTCTTCTTTTATAATATGCCGCCCCCCATCTAAATCTTGAATGAAACTTACAATCAAAAGAATAATATTCAAGTATTTCAATATAAAACCCATCGTCAAAAATATTCTTAAGTGGTTTGATTTTTTCAAAGAAATCCCTGGGACTAATATTTTAAAATCTATGTGATAAGAAAGGTTGAATTATTTTTTTGAATATTAATATTTCATTTTGCGTCCATTCTGCAAAATTGGATGATAATTTATTGTTAGATTGTGCGATACTCAATTCCATTAATATATCCCAAACTTCAATAGGATTTTCAAAAATATTGTTTCTCACAAGGATCGTAAGGAGGATTTCTTGATTGATTGTTGTGAAATCATTTGCCTTGAAGATTAATAACGGTTCTTGCTCAATATTAATATTATAGAAGTGAACCAATTTGCTAAACTGAGTAAAACGGCATGCAACGCTTTGAATGAGAATAAAATTTTGTTTAAGTAATATTTCAACTATAAGATGATGCTCTTCAATAAAATTGCATAGGCAGTTAAGGACATAATTCATCGGCAGCAATTAAAAGCGCAATATTTGTTTTAATATCGTATCTGGAGAGGTCAAGATTACGAGTGTACAAGTACCTAATTAATTGAATAATATCCATGATTTAAATTTTTATTTTTACAATAGTTAATGGTTTGAAATATTACAACGAATACATCAATAGAAATATTAGGTATTTGCAATTTAATGACATTATTTTCGATCTTTATCCAATTGTCTGGTAAAGCAGTTCGAATTTTTAATATTAAAGAGTGTGCTTTAAAGACTCTAATGTAGGGTTCCTCTCCGATTAAGATTTCTGTATCTGAAAATTCATTAGAATTAAGAATTGTGTTGTAATCATCTTGCAAAAAATGTAACAATGCGGTAGAACATTGAACTTGCGTTACATTTGCGTGGTTTAAAGGAAATGATCGCTAACGTAAACAAATTTAAAAGACTCCGTCATTTTGACCTGAATTTATGTCATTTGAGGTCATTGCAAGGTCATTTGCCAACACTTTCTTGTAATGAATTTATGGTTAAAAGAATCAAAATAAATCAGATAATTGTTTGAGATGAGCGTGAAGGTAATCATAGTGTGAGAGAGCAGTTGAAACTTGCGTGGTTTTTTCGTACCATTTCCAATTATTTAAGTTGATTAATTTCATAATTGATATCGCGGGATGCAAATGACTAAGAGTATATATTTTTATTATAAAATAATTGTCGCATACTGCTTCATTACGATTGATTAATATTATATATAGTCACATAAAAATCATTAATATAATTGCTAATAAATTTCGCGGTTCATAATTGATCGACTATTGTTAATGCAAAAAAAAACCACGAATTATCAATTCGCGTAGCTTATTATCGATAGTAACTTCACGGGTTATCAGAGATTACTACACAGTTCACGGTAAGCAATGCATTGATTGGATAATTTGCCACGAAAGTGGCAAAATCCACCAATCAATGCATTGCCATAGTAATTGTGGAGTTATCGGCGATTACCCGTGAAGTTACGATATAATTATTCGGCTCCCTGATTATTATAAAATATTATTTTAAATATTTTTTTTTTTTTCTCGTTTTATATCATTTAATCTCAATACAACTGCATTTTTTTTATTATGCCAAAATCCAAATAAAAATCTTTAAAACCTTTTTTTATAATAAAAAATTATTTTGTATTTCAATTGATAAATCAACTAATAATTGGGTTATACAGTTAGAACGATATCGTGTAAATTTAAATGGAAATATTGAAGAAATTGAAAATGATTTTCAATGCATATAATCAAGGTTCTTTATTTATTTATTTTATCGTTACATATTTTTATAAAGAAACTAACATTCATATATTTAGAATTGCAAAACGATTCTGCACAAAAGAATTTAATTGAAAGTCAATTAATGACAATTGAACTCTCACTTCCAACGTATTTTTAAAGAAAATACATTTAATAACTGTTCTTTTATATTTAATATTAATAGTAAATAGAATTTAATTAAGTATATATAATAATTAATAATTAATTAACATATTAAACTTTTTTTAATGTTATTTTATATAAGTATAACTTATATTGTAATATCATGGTCGAAGTTTAAATCAACTCTCTCCGTGACAAATTACTCCATGGACAAAGTGTAATAATCATATACGGCCGTGTAATTAAATTATTTATTATATTCATTCAAAATGTTCATTATATGTATCGCTGGAAAGTGATATAACCTTTTATTTCAACAGATTTTAATAATTAACTTTGAATCTACTTTCTTACTTTTTAATCATGAATTTCTAATATTCAATTTGTTCGTGCCAAAGTAACTGAGGAATTGTATTATTATTAATATGCGCTTGATCTTTCCTTATAATTGTAATTGAAATTTTGATTTTTTAGTTTGTATCGCAGACATTTTTTTTTTGCGTGGTAAAAAATGCCACTATAATTTCGGTATTTTGCACGTTTATATTTGCAGAATTTTAATGCTTTTAAATATTTATACAATGCGTGAACTGTGGTCTTAATTCGCGGATTATTACATTTTAATTTTGATATTAAAATCAATAAGAGTTTAATTATTAGGACCTTATTTTTCCTAGAAATATATATTGGCAAACAATTTTTTTGTTTTTTTTTAATTTTCGTGAATCAAAAATTCGTTATCTTTGAAATGTGAAAAGAAAAAAAAAAAGAGAATTCGGAAATGATCACTTATTTATTTTATTTAAACTGTAGACTTTTTTTTTATTTATTTTTTTTTTTGTTAAATCTAAGGGATTTTATTGGCATAAAAAAACATTCTGTAGATTAGACGTTTCTGTCATTTTTATAGCTTAAGCTTTATGCTTTGTGTTATGCTAGCAAACAGCCTAATGACCGTGGTTTAATATGTTGGAAAATAAAATTCGAACACTTACCCGATTCAACGCTTTCCTAAAAATTGATAAATTTTTTTATTCTTTATTTAGGATTTCGAGTTGCTGCGTCGCATGAAGAAAAAGTTGGTAAATATTTTTAATCCATTATTTTTATTTTTATTATAAATCAAATTATAAGCAGAATCAAAGTATTATCATCATGGATTAAAACTCATTGCAAGATTTTTGCTACTAAAAATTTTAATAATCGTGATGGATATCATTTATTTGAACATTATTTTTACATTTAAAAGTTTATAAGCAATTTATCTTGCATAGGAAAACTATCATGTTCTGTCAATGCATAAGTTTTTAATTTCTTTTTGGTTATGAACCTTGATTTTTTAAAACAATTGAAAAGAAACAATGAATAATGTACAGTATTTCAGATGAAAAAAAATTCAGAATATCAAGACAACAGCTTTTAAAACAACAACAGTCGGCAACGATTGCAGCAATTTCAATAGTTGTTTCAGGTGCCAATGCTGTTACAACGATGAAATTTGAATATCTGAATTATGTGACTCGAGTCAAGTATAGACATGATACTTCAGATACTTCAACAATGACGTGCAACAATCACTTTTATATATTTAAGTGAGGATAATAAGTCATTTTATTTTCTTTCATCTCGTCTAAAATTGTTTTTAATATAAACAATGTAACATGTCTTACTAATATTTATTAATTGCCTCACTTTGAATAAGTGGAAAAGGGAATTCTAGGATTTCACTTCTGTAAAAACCTGATGAAATGATGAACGTTCTCAACTAATGCCTAACCCGAGGAGAAACTTATTTCTTGAGGAATTAACATCAGGTATGTTCTAAAAATCATATGACGTTATTTTCTTACATTAACTAACTTTGCCGATTAACCCAATACCCAATTGTGGGTAAGCGTCATAATAATTGGTCAGCATAAACGTGATTCGTAACCTTTTTGAAAGTGAATACTTTTGTTTTATCTACTTAATTGCAAGCTTCGTTTTATTGATTCGTCCATGCCTTTACGAAAATTGTAGCAAGAATAATCCAAAAAACTGGTGGATTTAGAAATTTTAACATATCAATTGGTAGATCAAACATCCTTACAGTTTATTGCCATTAATTTAGAGATATATGACTTCAATTTTTATGAAACAACGCTCACATTTCATTATCCATTCTCATAACTCTCATAAATCACAAAATACGAATATTTCTCCATCTCCACTAATATTTAACTTTCTTAAGTTTATATTAATTAAATCAAAATTTTCATCCTTTTCCTATTCATTTCTTCACTTTCCATCTAAAGCGTGGACAATTGATAAAATATATATATATATTGTGATTTTGGAGTCTTAGTTCCCCCTATAAAAAGAAATTTAAATCGTGAATTTTTAATTCGGGCAAAAAAAATTCGTGTAACCATAAATGTTAGTTCCGAGCTTGGTATAGAAAATTTTTTAGTTTTTTTATGATATAAATTTAATAAACGAATGTTCTTAGCTAAATAATTTACATTAAGAAATATTTTTTTTTTTTAAAAAAAGTGGAAAGAAATTATTTTTCTTCAACACCTTTTTAAATGTGGTGCAAAATTTTTAAAATTTCCTAAAATAAAGGGACCTCACTTAACATAATAGAATTTGTTTTGCTATCGACCATTAATATCTCACCCTCTCTACCCCCAAACCCTTATTCCTAAAACCCTTTTTTCGAGGTAAACTGAACTTGATAAACTTCATAATCACTTATTTCAAAAGTTCCCTCATAGTTTCTAATTAACTTTTCGTAACTATTTCTATAGCATATTCCTTTGTTGGTGGAATTGAGGAGTAAACGTAGATCCGACTCGCCAAACTCCAGTCCATTATCCATGGAACAAATTGGAACTCTTTTTTTACTAAAAATGTAATTTTCTAGATTATTTTTATCTAATGAAAAAATGAAACTTTCTATATCACATTTAAAATCATGATAAAAAGCTTTCACGCTTACAGATAGCGTTCCAAATGGAAAATTAAGGTAAGGGTAAACACCATTTGGATTAAATCCTCCGAGTATTTCATTAGTACCTTTAACGCAAGCAATAGTTATGGTTGGTCCTTTATTGCTACAATTTTCATGAAAAGTTTTAACATCAAAACCATCTCTGCTTCCTCGTACAAGCAACTCAAATTTCATAAAAGTATTAAGGACGTCTCTTTTCATTATTTTAATAAAATTAGCAAGCAAATAGGCTTGTTCGGAATTAATAATTTTAGAATCAACACTCATTTTATGTCTTGAATGACTATTGTCATAAAAAGAATAATATTCAAGGAGTTTAACATAAAATTCAATATCAAAAATGTCTTTTAAGGGTTTAATCTTTTGAAAGAAATCAGAAGGATGAATTTCTTTAAAATCAATATGTGAGATAAATGGTTGAATGATGTTCCCAAAAGTAGAAACATTGTCAGCGGTCCACTTTGTGATCTCCAATGGTAATCCATTCGTTTGTGCAATTGCCCACTCTATAAGATTGTCCCAGACTTCAATTGGTTTCAATAAATGATTAGATTCCAATATATCAAGAAGCACGTCTTGCTTAATAGTTGTGAAATCCTTTGCTTTGAAAATTAAAGAAGGATCTTTTTGAAAGGCATCTTGATGGAACTGGAATAATTTTGTAAATTGACTGTATTGATTTGTGACTTGATGAATAAGGACAAAGTTGTGTTTTAACGACTCTTTATATTTAAGAAGCTCTTCTTCAATGTATGAACATAAGTCATTAAGACATAAATCATCAGCTGCAATCAACAGTGCAATATTCGTACTGGTATCTTGTCTTGTAAGTTTGATAGTCCCGGAGTACATATACCTAGTGTTTTTTTTTTTAAAAAAAAAATAGGAATTAATAAAGGTTTATAATGACGATGACGTCATCTAACTGAACACTCACTCGACAAGAATATCAAAAATTTCAACCGGAATATTTGGTTTTTGAAGTTTTATGATGTCATTTTTAGTTTGAACCCATTTTTCTGACAAAGCGATACGAAAGTAAGGCGATCTAATTTTTAATACAAAAGAATGTAGACGAAATACTTTGGAGTCAAGTCCTTCCCCAACTAATATTTCGGTATCAGATAATTCACCGGTATCAAGCATATTACTATAATCAACATTTAATAATTTATCGGACATTATTTTTCGTTATAAAAAAGAATTAGAGAAGGTCATTCCAAAATCTTTTTTTTTATGAAATTCAATTATAACTTTTATTTGTTTCACCAGTGGCGTAAAATTCCTAATATATTATTTATCAGCGAATAGTGACGTAAATTGACGAAGTTACGTAATTACGAAATCACATGATTTACGTAATTGTTTTTTTTTCGTATTAAAGAGGTTGCTCTCATCTCTTTCAGAAATATTTTAAGGATGGTTTCCATAAATTTATACACCATATTTAAATTTGAATTGTCAATTACAATATGAAACTTTTTATTACTTTTCTTTTTCTAAATACTTTCATTTTTTTGAAAATCTTATATATGACGTGTATTGAATTCTCTCAATTTTCAAGTAATACTAAAAATATTATATTCAAAATAATATTTTTGCACTGTCATGCAAAGATATATGTAATTTTACTCTTCCAGAACCAGAAGACTAAACAAAATACTCAGTATACATTATCCAGCTTATCTGGTAAGTGAAAACATCATAAAAAAAAGATAAATAAAAAAAATTTTTTTCTAGAAATAAAGAATAAATTGAGAAAATTAATGAATTAGAAAAAAATCAATTACTTCTTTTAAACCATTTTTAAATCTTATTTTGAAGCTTTTAGCAATATGGAATGTTAAAAAATCAAAGGATGTCTGATATTAGTTGAGATCATAATGATATCATTTTTAAATTCTCTTATTGGTTAAAACTTATTATTTTTGAATAAAAAATTTATATCTATGTTATTTTATTCAGAAATTTCTGTCAACTATGGATCATTTGCTATTAAAATCGAGTTATAAATATATGATCTATAACATAATTTAATTTCTAACCTCCTATATGTCAAATTTTTTATCACCATTTTAATTAATAAATATAAATATTACCCGCTTACTAATTATTCGCCCGTGATGTTTCATATTGATATATTACCGGATTCACTATCAGAGTTGAATTTTCCGTGAAAATATCAACATGACGCAATTACCATGATATATCAAACGGAAATCGTACCACAAAATATTTAATATATTTTATTTAGTAAGCTTGATATAAAAAAAGCATTTTTAAAATATTACACTATTACAAGCATTTATGATTAACGAAATATACATTATTTAAAGTAAAAGTTAACATTTTGAAAGTGACATTTATTAAAC